TCTTTCTTCCCATCTAATCTTCAGTATCGAGTGAGCGTAGGTGGCAGCTGTTGATATATCTCTCTAGTTTGCTACAAATGCTTTTCGCAACGCGCCAACATTCTGAACTATCACATGGAAGCATTGACTTGACTGTTTTAGTATTGAATATCCGGATATTGTTGTTTATGCTGAGTTGAGTGCAGTAGATCTCCACACTGATTTCAGATTAATGTAAGCCTGTCTTGCTTTTCCGATCCTGGTTTTCACGTCCTCATCTGTGCCTGTGCCATCTGTAGTCAAGACAATGTTGCCTTGGCACGTAAATGAGACTACTTCCTTTAGGTTTCTCCCGTTCATAGTGATTGGTTGGGTATTTTCATGACCCCCGTCTACAACTTTTCCCAATATAGTTGGTTGTTTTGTATCACATCTTTCATTTTGACTAAGGCTTTCGCTAAACAATTTTAAGGTTTGAAATGTACCTTAATACCATACTTAGCATAAAATCTTTACATTTGTTCTCAAATACCTTTCTTGTATGGAATTGTCTTTGTTGATATTCACGACTTCTCCTCAGTCTTATCTGTTCCCTTCTTGTCATTCTTAATAATGTTGTTTAGAAAAGGCTTTCGATAGTCATTATCGATTAATACTTGGTTTTCATAATCGTTTGGCAGACTAGTATTATTGATACTAGATGATGATTGAAGGTGAAATGGAAATTTAAACCGCCGCCGAGTTTGAACCAGTGACCACCGACTTCCCGACTCGATGATCTACCAACTAGGCTACAAGGTCATTTCACTTCAATCAGCGAGGATTTTGCCCGTCTACCATGTGAATTCATTATATGTTACTATCACTCGATCGTACTCACACTCGCTGCGTGGTCAGAACTTTTTATCTAAATTCAAGTGAATTACAGAGTGACAGTATTAGATTCAGTTCGATTTCGATAAGGATGAGAAGTCTTCACTGCAGGCAGTCAGTATGAGTACGATCAAACGATAGTAACGCATCGCAAATCCATATAGTAGTCGGGTGAAACTCTTGATGATTGAAGTGAAATAAAAATCTGGTCAACATTCGTATCTCAGTTGGTAAAGCAAAGAGTTGGAAACCCGGTGATCGCTGGTTCGAATCCTATTACCGTCCAAATTTCCATTTCATCTTCAATAACCATCAGTATCAATACTTGCTTTACTTTGGAAATTTCATTTCTTTTATCCTCTGTATCAATCTCTAGTAGGTTCGGATTGAAAATTTAGATATTTATCACCAATCAATAGGTTTTCTATAAATTCTAATATTTTAACTTCCCCTTCAGAGATGTTCTTTGAATAAGACAGTCTAGGGAATTCAATATTCCTGCACTCAATTGAGTTTCATTCGTGAATTTTTAGAAAATTCGACATCGAGTTCAAGTGTTGTGGAAAAAAACTTTCATATTCTGTTTTCTTAATGATGACAAAGGGTTAGGTTTAGGGGGAGCCCATCGCAAGGTTATTCGTTTAACAATATAACTCATCCCTAGATGTAAAATATGTTGATTCTAAGCATAATCTTGGGGATTTTATAATGTCTCCTGTTGATAAGGGACAGATGAGGACGTCAAAGCCAAGATCGGAAAAACAAGACAGGCGTTCATTAACCTGAAACCAGTCTCGAGATCTTCTGCACTCAGACAAAACAATACTCGGATTTTCAACACTAATGTCGGTCAAGTCAGTGCTGCTATGCAATGGTCCAGAGACTTGGTGCATTACGAAAGGCATTTCCAACAAACTGCAGACATTCATCAACAACTACCTACACTCATTACTGAAGTCCAGATGACCAGAAAGAATAAGCAACAAGGAACTCTGGCTGGCGATGAACCAACCAAGAACCTACCGCTGAACAAATATACAGAAAGAAGTGGAGATAGATTTGGCATGCACTGAGACCATTAGAGGAAATCACGTGCCAGGTCAGGCACTCGAGTGGAGCCCAGATGGGAAACGATGAGTTGGGTGTCCGAGGGTGACATGGAGGAGATGGTGTGAGGAAGAAATGAGAGGTTGTGGGCTGTTGTGGAACCAGGTTCAAAGGTTGCAGAGAACAGAGTGCAGTGGAGACGTGCTACTGAAGCTCTATGTCCCACTACGAACCCAAGGGACAAAAAATTATGGCACCTTGAGGATTAATTGAAATATGTTCAGTTTCTTCATACTATGACGTGTTTTTACTTGCTGATGTCACCAAGACAATAAGAATCCGTGATTGAGTACTCTTTGTGATGTGATTGAAAATCGGTCACTATGATACAGATGTATTCTCTACTTGATATCTTCCAAAGCTCGAATATTTGTTTAGTCTCTCATATAAGTTTTATGAATCTTTTTCTACCCACCTGTTCTTTGTATACTACTGTGAATTGTGATGATGCAATTGTAAGCGAGATTGTCTGTCTGTTAGTGGTTAGGTTGTGTTTACGTTGTAATGTTCATCATCGAATCGTATCATGTTCTTCAATGATGAATAAAACCAGTGAGAAGGCCATCCTATTTGGCATAATTGCCACATTTACAAACTGCTACTAACGTATGGGATTAGTGAAAGGAGGTAAGTGATGAAACACTGATTGTTTTATGTACCTGAAGAATTGCATCATCCCTGGTAGTGACAGGTGACAGTAGTATTTCTCAAAGACATTGTTACAGTTGCATATCCACCTATTTAAGGATGCCCATATGATATATGTCGGTGAAAACCAACTACCTATGCCGCGATACGAACTATCACCACCAGGGATGATGCAATTCTTCAGGTACATAAAACAATCAGTGTTTCATCACTTACCTCCTTTCACTAATCCCATACGTTAGTAGCAGTTTGTAAATGTGGCAATTATGCCAAATAGGATGGCCTTCTCACTGGTTTTATTCATCATTGAAGAACATGATACGATTCGATGATGAACATTACAACGTAAACACAACCTAACCACTAACAGACAGACAATCTCGCTTACAATTGCATCATCACAATTCACAGTAGTATACAAAGAACAGGTGGGTAGAAAAAGATTCATAAAACTTATATGAGAGACTAAACAAATATTCGAGCTTTGGAAGATATCAAGTAGAGAATACATCTGTATCATAGTGACCGATTTTCAATCACATCACAAAGAGTACTCAATCACGGATTCTTATTGTCTTGGTGACATCAGCAAGTACAAACACGTCATAGTATGAAGAAACTGAACATATTTCAATTAATCCTCAAGGTGCCATAATTTTTTGTCCCTTGGGTTCGTAGTGGGACATAGAGCCTCAGTAGCACGTCTCCACTGCACTCTGTTCTCTGCAACCTTTGAACCTGGTTCCACGACAGCCCACAACCTCTCATTTCTTCGCACCAAGTCTCTGGACCATTGCATAGCAGCACTGACTTGACCGACATTAGTGTTGAAAATCCGAGTATTGTTTTGTCTGAGTGCAGAAGATCTCGAGACTGGTTTCAGGTTAATGAACGCCTGTCTTGTTTTTCCGATCTTGGCTTTGACGTCTTCGTCTGTCCCTTATCAACAGGAGACATTATAAAATGCTAAAGATTATGTTTAGAATCAACATATTTCACGTTTAGTGTTGAAAATCCGGATCTCGTTCACACTTTATGTTGAGTGCTGTGCAGATCTTTACATTGGTTTCAGGTTAGTGAACGCCTGTGTTCCCGATCCTGGCTGGCTTTGACGTCCTCGTCTGTGCCGCATTTAGTTGAAACGATGCTGCCTAGGTAGGTGAAATAGGCTACTTCCCTTAAGTTTCTCCCGTTGGTGATTGGTGCTTGTTGTTGATGGTCGCCTTGGTTGAGTATTTTCATCACTTCTTTCTTCTCTATGTTCACTTGAAGTCTCGTCTTCGCTGCCTCTTGAGGTGTCATAATGATCATGGATAAATCTAATGTTTATATTTAGAGTTAGATAGAAGATGACATCGCGAAGAAGCTTGGAGAGGTAGGCAGTAATTCAACTCTACTTCGTTGCAAAAGTGATGTCGGCATATTTCGATTTCCCCCCCCACACACACCTCTCCGAAACATCATAAACAGATTATATAATCGGTTTAAAGTCTAAATTTGGAAGTATATAGGTATCAATTAGCAAGACTTCTGAAGACCTGACGGCTGTTTTACACTAGTATTGAACTCTTTAGTAACGTGGACTCATAACCTCACTAGGGGTGGAACTCAAAACCTTCAGGTCTCATGGCAAGCACGTCAATAGTTCTCATCTCTCTACTTCAGTCAATTCATGACATAACATAACCATCATTTTATATCATCATTAGTGAGTGTTTATCTTCACAACAAAGTTGATTGACCTCATAGGTCATGATCGCTTCTCATGTCACTCATGAACCCTAGACAGTCGTGTTATACAGTGTACATATTTATATTTAGTATCTTCAAGACAGAATACCATTATCTCCTTGTAGTAGAATACAAAATACAATGACAAAAAAAGCTAACAGAAGTTGGAAATATGGAGCATTGGATTCTGACCTAGTGGCTAGCTCAATGGTAACGCGCTGGCCGCGGAACCTGAAGGTTGCGGGTTCGATCCCCGCTGGTGGGGTCGTGGGTACGCACTGCTGAGGAGTCCCACACTTGGACGAAACAGTTGTCCAGTGCTCCCAGGTTTCCATTGTTCCTCCAACTGATGTCAGTCTACGATGAATAACAACTTGAAAAAAAAGGAGCAAAGCACAAGTGTGATGTAGCCAAAAAAAACTTGAAAGACAACACTTTTTATTTGCACAAAAGAAATCAAATAAACTTTAAGGGAATAAAAATAAAGCTTGACAAAAAAAAACATACAAATCGATTGACTACAAAAAAAAAAGAGGAAGAGACACAAACAGAAGAGACCAAGACGATCCATCAGCAGTTAACATGATGACTGAAATTACACAAATTCACTTAATGAATATATATACTCTATGTACATGTGCTTGTGTACAAACAAGTAGGGTTCAGTCTTGATTTCTATTCAGGAATAGATAGATACCCATAGTGCCTAAGACACCGTACTGAAAATATACAAAAAAAAACTTGAGGGTAGGAGGGAACATGTTCCAAAATGGTTACAAAAGTAGTTGAATACACAAACATTGATAAGCACAGATGGCAGACAACCATCACATCCACATCCATTGATAAGAGTCACAGGATTGATATTAAAACAACCTTTACAATTTTGTATAGAAACTGTCAGGGGTGTATACTTAAGTTTTGTTGAAGCGCTAGCCATAAATAAGTTTAACCTCCCATTGTGTGAACCTCGCCTGGTTAACTAGTTCACTGGTTACTAGCCGGTCCTAAGCCCGGGTAAAGAGGGAAGGTTGGGCATAGGGCTAGCAACCCTACCCCGTAAAACAAATCTAACCGCTAAAGAAACTTCAAAGCACAAACGATATATAAAAAACAAAAACAAACTTATTCCCCGCCGGAATCGGAGAGGCGAAATGACGCCTTCGAGAAGCCATTGCGTGTGTGCAAAAACAGTTTGTCCTTACATTAAGCCTACCTTGGTAATGATTATTTTATCGTATTACCAAGATTATTTTCAAATCTTATCTTTTATTCCTCTCATTATCTTTCTTACTATTGGATTCCTTTATGTCATATTTATCCTAACCCCACTTTCAGTTTTCATATATAATACCGCCTTAACAAGTAAATGTGTAGGGGGATCCGATTGTTCGAAATGTATAGCGCTAATACATCACCATCTTTTTCAGATAATCTACGTCTTTTAATTACATTATCCAAACAAATAAACAGAAATACAATGAACACAACTGAATGTGAGAAAACATTAACGTTCATTGGCTTATCCAACAGACATTCAACCAATAACTTGGTTACGTGTTCGAACCCCGTTCCACCTAGTGAGGTGATTTAGAATGTAACAGTCAGACAGTAATACCCATTCTAGTCTGTTTATTGGAAATATCACGCACAGTGAAGGAACAGTGTTATTTACTGAATAACGTACATCTCGGACACAATTTATTGTCCATATTCATATCAGGTAACCAACTTCACAACTTCGAGACAGAGTTTATTTAGTCCTAATTACCTCACCTTCTCTTTGATGACAAGAGTAACAGAATTTTCAATATATCTGAGACAGTTGCTGAATCATTCCTGTTACTGCATGTATTTGGTGCTGATTCGATAAAGGGCGACTCTCCCTCTAACCAAGTTAGTTTTCAACACTGTCGCCCTATCCCACCCTACTGTGTGTCATCGCATGCACAGCTACAGCCGAGCTTTTCTCTAGACTTCTTACCTAATTAAGATCTACTAATCTTGATTTAGCTAAGTTTTTGTGTTCTATTTTAGTAATCGACCTGGTCGACTGTTTTGACCTATGTACTTGACCTCACAATCATTGCAAGGGATCTGCAATGATTGTACAGTCAAGTACATAGGTCAAAGCAGTCAACCAGGGTCGATAAGAATAACAGAACACAAAAACTTAGCCATATCAAGATCAGTAGATCCTTATAAGATAAGAAATCTAGAGAAAAGCTCGGCTATAGCTCTGCATACGATGACACACAGTAGGGTGGGATAGGGCGACAGCGTTAAAAACTTAGTTGGGTGGGTGGAGGGAGAGATTGACTGATAACCGACTGAATCTTTGTTTATCGAATCAACACCAAAAACACATACAATCGAAATGATGCTGTACCTGTCCCAGATATATGGAAAATTCTACTACCCTTGTCATTACAGAGAAGGAGAGAAAACTAGGAATATATAAAGTCTGTCTCGAAGTTGTGCAGTTGGTTACCTGATATGAATATGAGCAATAAATTGTGTCCGGAAAGTACGTTATCCAGTAAACGATACTGTTTTTTCACTGTGCTGTGATATTTCTAATAAACAGACTAAAATGGAATTAAAATCGACCACAGTGCCCAAGTTTTACACTTATATGAATGAGACAGTAATATCATTAACCCTCATATAATAGATATGTGGCTGGCTCATCACTGCCGCCCCCCCCCCAACCCCTACTATTGAGATGCAATTCTAACGTGGCCAATCAAATAAAAATGTTGTTGAAGGATACCAAGTTACTTCAGTTAGTGATATAGGTTAAACACGTGATTTGGAAGTAATCAGCTTTTGATTTGAACAGCCAACCACCACCAGTCACGCTTAGTTACACGTAGTTTATGGTGTATCCCCTTTCCTACTCATATTGTACCAAGTATTTGTTTTAAATGTATGATAAATAACCAGTTGACTGAAACTGATCTTGTTATCGAACAATACCACAAACAAATAAGGCATAAATCATTATTTTGTTTATATCACATTAGAGGGATCATTGAATTCTAAACATTATTCCCTAACTACTTTAAGGCATGATTAAGAACCTAAAAACGAAACTCCATTCAAGAAATCACCTACATATGCTAGACAATAAGCCACACAATTATTTTATGAAGCCTTACAATAACCACTTGGCTATCCGAACCCCTCCATATAGAGTGGACTTCGAACCCGTGACTCAAGTATTCAGCTCAGTTTAGCAGGTAAATCATCAATAGGGATGATATAAAAGGAATACATAGACTGGAAAATGATTATGGTATTTTTTTTTGAAGTTTCATACCAAATTTCCCTTTGTATGTATATACAAAACCCTAATCAGTTGTCTTTTCAAATAATGTTTATTTACCCTAATGATGGATCGTGGCTGGCAGTGGAATCCAGGATGCGCATTTCGTCCTATTTGGGACTCGTCAGCTGGATGTACCTGCCTCCCAATCAGTGGTGTTGTAACCACCGGGATTCGAACTCATTACTACAATCAAAACACAAGCAATATCGAGGCATTCCCACAGGAGATCATATGCCAATAGAGACCAATCAATAACACAAGAAGTGGCTGCTATCGTGGCTCGGTGGTGTAGTGCATAACGCTTTGGTGTTTGAAGCGATCGCTCTTGAGTTCCAATCCCGGCGAAAACAACATCACTCACTGAGAGGCAGGTACATCCAGCTGACGAGTCCCAATTAGGACGAAATGCGCATCCTTGATTCCACTGTTAGCCACTATCCATTTATACTATAACTAGAACACAGGTATATCGAGGGATTCACACAGGAGACCATACGCCGACAGAGACCAATCAATTCGGTTCAATCAACGACGGTATAATACAAGCAATTATACTAGTGCTCAATTACATTTGAATTGGATGAACAGAATTTAGCTTACTTTGAGTTGAGGATTCTCATTCATGACAATAGTAACTTGTCCAATATGAGGGATGAAGCTGAAAATAAACAAACAAAAAAGTTAACTTGATAAACAGCAAACATAAGAAGTAACTGAAAGAATATGACACTTTAATCCTTTTGTTACACTTCATATAGTAGCATATGCAAAGAACAGGTGGATAGAAAAGGAGTAATATCAAGGTCGACAAGAGTACGTGAGAGAGAATAGAGGATTTGAAGATAAAGGTTAGTCTGAATATTGATGCTTTAGAAGATGTCAAAGAGTGAGTGCATCTGCGCGACTAAACATCATTGATTCCTGTCATCTCAGGGAGCCTAGCCAGATAGTCTTCACCTCTTTACAGAACTCAGGTCAACAGTCAGGCACTTAATGGACTGGTTCCATGTCTTAGTCTGGCCAACCTGAACCATCTTCTAACCTAATTCACCTCCTCCAAGGATTGCATGTTGAGAAAGATGGTGGCTCGGCATGTGTAGCACATCTCCAACTCACCTCAGTCGATGAAGGTTAACAACAACTTGCCTTCCCTGCCTAATACCTTTCACGCTGACAAGATGCAGTCTTCTGAACACTTTGAGAATGTTTGGGATGCGTTTCTCACCACACAAATGCAAATTGTTGCTCCAGGATTGATCTTCAACAGTGCCTCGACTAACAATAAAGAGTGAAGTGGTTGAGTGTGTCGACCAATTCACTTACCTGCGAAATGGGATCAACCCTGGTGGCTCAGTGGCCGATGAAATCTCTGCACGAAAACAAAAGGTTCGACTGGCTTTTGCCAAATTACGCCATCTATGGAGCCGCCGTGATATCCCATTGTCTATTAAGAGTTGCATGTACTGCACGGCAGTCTGCTCTGCTCTATTGTATGGCTGTGAAATATGGTCATTGAAGGTGGAAGACATGACAAGGCTTTAGGTGTTTGACCACCGTTGTCCTCGTAGTATATGCAGTATTCCGTGGTGTCACCATGTGAATAACGCAGAAATCAGGTGTAGAGTTTTAGGGAGAAGAGGTAAGTCGGTTGACGAGGTTATGAACATTCATCGACTGAGATGGCTGGCTGAAACATGTGTTGCGTATACCCAGTCACCGTCTGCCTCATCGCGTAATGTTGGTCGAAATACGTTGAGGTTGGAATAAGGCTCGGGGGCCAAACTAAGACATGGCCTCAATCTATGAAGTCTTAAACTGTTGGTTTGAGCCATGTGGGACGATGCAGATTAGGTGGTTGGGGTCCGCGGGACAGGAGGAACCAGTGGCTGGAGATTCTAGGCGATATGGCTCAGAACCGATGTCAGTGGCGCAGATGTATCTCCACACACATTATCCTCATCTTAATGAAGTTATACCGAATCTCACAATTTTCTCATCCTTCCTTTCTCTCTTTTACTACTTTATATTTCTTTTGACTGAATTTCCTTCTCTTCATATTCCACTTCACTACCTGTGCTGATATGAGCTGTGGCAACTCGAACCGTTAAGCAGTAATGCCTGGTCCTATGTTTATGGATGATGATATGCAAGTATCATTATAACACGGAGTAAAGTTGACTTAACCGACCAAAGAGTTCTAACCTCATCACATAACATTGACTTCACAAAAGCGAAATGAAATACACTCAGGAATTATATAGATGAAGCTGAGGTTTATCGGTTTAGGATGACTTCCAATCAGTAGGTCACTGGTTCGAACCTCATTCCACCTACTGAGGTTTGGCCAGCCAGGTAGTGGTATCATTACACCTCACACAACAGGTATAGATCATTACCTACTGCATAAATATGCATAGAGTTGCTGAATGCATTCCGATTCCATTCGAGCAATCCATACAATAAGCTAATGGAAATCAACTACCACTAAGAAGTGGCTAACAGATAATCCAGTATAGTAATGTTGATTATCTGGACATTGCTACTAAGTATCGAAAAGAAAATCCAATTTAATAACTACACGTACATTCATGTAGTAGGCAATCAGCCTACATCTATTATGTAAGGGTTAGTGATACTAGTTAGCTGCTCAAACAACTTTGGTAGATGGAGCTGGGATTCAACTCGTGACCCATCATTTAAAAATCATCTCCCTAAACCAATGAACCATAACTCCACCATGGAAGGTGAAGTGAGGTTCTAACCAATGACTCACAAGGGTGGGATTAAAAGTTGACTGTCTAAACTAACAAAGCCACAGTTCATTCAACATTACTGAAATATCTTTCTGTTTTGTGCATTAAATTCAACTGTAGAGGTGTATGATTGTATTTGAACACTGGAATTTAGTCAAACTGATCATCTGAACCATTCAGTGTGTAGTCAGATTACAAAGAGATACATTCCTAGGCTTTTACAAATCTTTTCAGTTGAACAAATTCGGTCATAGTTCCTTCTTTTATAGTACTTTTGAACACCTGAGATCACTAACTCTTTCAAGTTGAAGTCAACAGTTAAACTTGGGTCTTATATGCTCCCTAAGGTAATACAACAAACACTTATGACGATAAAGGCCAAAATTATGACCATTAAGGTCAGTTGTTTATCATCAGAAGTATAATTTTTTCCAAGACTTCTCGACGGCTTGGACTAAAGCAGCTGCGATACTTAAGTCTGGTTTCAAAGATGTTCAAATATGAATACAAGTAGACAGGGATAGATAAGTCAACGTAGAACTTGGCATAGAAGCACATTGGTTCAAGTTACCCCACTTCATAGCATACAAACATACATGGATATAGTAATGTTTTGCATATTAATTACATAATTAGTAGGTTTCAATATATACATTATTTTATAATTAAAACATGAACAAACAATAAACTTACCCCCTTGCTCGTCCTATAAGATGGGATGGTGTAAGCCAATCTTGACCTGGAGCATACAAACCTCGATCATGAACCGGATTGTTGTCTCCCTTTGTGAGAAATTTAATGGTACCGTTAACGCTAAAATTACAAAAGGTGGGCACGGTTTTGAAATATAAAATTAACAGATGAATCATTTACAAGAAAAGCGTATCTTATACACAGAAGACTATAAAGGTAGATTTAAAACACCCCAACATAGATTTTATGAAGCCTATGGTTACTTACTTAGTCAACAAGTAGAGAGTAGATTGCATTTCTTTGACATTTTGGATAACCACTAAACAACATGATATAAAATCACGACCAAGCTTGTTTATTGTGGATGTATGAATATTAGCTGGGAAATCGAGGACACTCGTTCCGTCTTATTTTAACACTCACCACCTGGATATACGTGCATCCAAGGAAGTGCTGTGTAACTTTGTTCAAAGGATAAAGACTACTGTACATTTGTGTACTGATATCTTGCGAATTCATTATAGCAATAAAATCTTTATGTACTGAACTCAATTTGGCAGTTTCAGTTTAACTCACGAAAATCTGTAACCATCTAATAACATTTCCTAGTCACGTGAGTCAAATTGACGGGTTAATAGGACCTGTGAGTACATAGAACTGTTACAAGTTGTTACATTTCATAATTATAAGATGAACCGAAAATACCTAATGAAGGTGATGAAAGTGAAACAGTAATCAGGGGAAAGAGGAGACTGTTAAGCAATGTATAACAAACTGACAGCGTCCCATTATATCAAAATACGGATGAGTGTACTCATATATGTAAATGCTCTACACGATGGATGTGACAATTATGTTTCCTAGTAGCTGTGTCCATCCATCCAGATCAACCTAGGACCAGCCATTACTGCCTAACGGTCCCAGTTGCCACACCTCATATCAGTACAAGGGTGAGGACACTGAAGGCTCCAATATGTAATTTGGAGCGTGGTTTAAGGAGACCAACGATGCTGTCCTGTGAACTCAGATCGTTGTCAAAGGCTCTAGAACTAGAAGAAATTAAAGATGATGTAGTATCGTTAGTTCAGAGACATGAACGAAGATTAGGAGGTAAGGATGAAAAAGGTGGATAGCAGTCTGAGGAAACTTGAATAATGACAGGATTGTGAGGGCGGTTGACACTCACTGGCTGCCTACACCATGGAAGGCTATTTCTGCTTAAGGTACCTAAAAGAGATTTGTGCGACCGCAGAGCCCATCGGACATCTGCTTGAGGCCTTTCACTCAGCCTTTTGTGTATGCTTATTTTAGACTTTTGTATTTTTGGGGCCAGATGGTTGAAAAGAAACGACAAATGAACCGATACCGCCGGCCCGGCAAACCGTAGTGTATGGTGGAGTTATTTTTGGGGTCGACCTTTCCTAACCCCCCCCCCCTCCTTCAATTGAGAAAGCAGCATCAGCATGGCACTGCTGGTCATCCAAGGAAAACACCTTACTGCTGTCACATCCCATACAGCTAACAGCAGTACGATTTCGCCCTCAGACCCCCATCATAGTGTAGCAATTTACACTATAACGGTAACTGCTTTTCGTCTAACCACTATCCAACAGACCTTTCTGGTATGGTAGGATCTAGAGGGAACAAGTGTTCCACCAGCATAGCGCGTTGATTCATTGTGATATGCAAGCCAGACCATTACGTCAAGGTAGCAAGGTAGTAAGCAAGTGTCTAAAATATCGTCTACTATCATACATATGAAATCATTTCCATTCCTTACTGAATATATTAACATGGCAGGCAATGGTCATGGTATCATAAGCCTTCACACAAGTGTTCGTCATTGCCTAGTATATAAGATTCTAGGTTTGATAATCATTAGACGCCAGAGTCAAGCTCGGGAACAGCAAGCTCGAGAAAACCAGACAGGCTTCAGACCTGGTTGTGGGTGAATCGACCAAATATTCACACTTCTCCAGGTTCTGGAACACAGGCACACTTATCGACGCCCGACCTGAAGGCGGCATTTAACTCCGCCGATTGAGAAGTCCTATGGCACTGTCTTTCATTCAAAGTGGAGACCGAATAAGTACATCACCCAATTGAAAGCTCTTTACTCGAACACCTGTGGGCGTGTTACAGACTATAGTGAGATATCGGGTGAGTTGTGTACATCGAGTGCTGTCCATCAAGGATGCCTACTCTCTCCATTCTTATTCAATGTTATCATAGATGTTCTCATGGACGTCTCCTTCTCGACAACCAACTACACAGGGATTAACCTAATCACAGAAGGATTTTGGTAGACATAGAATATGCAGATAACATAATCCTATTAGGTGAACACACTGACAAGATGCAGAGTCTCCTTCAGTGGCCGTTTGAGAATGTTTCGAGCGCGTTTCTCACTACCCGAATGGAAATTGTTGCTCAAGGACTGGCCATCAACAGTGTCTCCGCAAACAAAGAGACTGAAGTGGTTGAGTGGGTTGAAGACTTAACTTACCTGGAAAGTCAGATCAGTTCTGGTGAGTTGGTCACACACCAACGCCACATTTTCCGATTGTCTATTGAGCGTCGAGTGCACTGTGTTGCAGTCAGCTCTTCTCTACTCCGCAGCTGTGAAATATGGCCGTTAAAGGTAGAAGACATGAGAAATCTTCAGGTGTTTAACCACCGCTGCCTTCGTAACATACGCTGGGTTTCCTAGTGTCACTACATCAGTAATGCAGAAGTCAGGTGGAGAGATTTAGGCAGGAGGGGTAGGTCAGTTGATGGGGTTGCGAACCTTCATTGACTGAGATGGCTGGCTGAAACATGTGTTACGTATGCCTAGCCACCGTCTGCCTCGTCGCACGATGTTGGCCAAAGTAGCTTGAGGCTGGAATAAACCTCAAGACGACCAGACTAAAACAAGGCATCAATACGTGAAGTCTTTGACTTTTCGGTTGAGCCATGTAGAGCGACACACTTTCTCGTTTCTCCTTCCTTATTTTTACGACTTTCCACTTTTACTTCTTTTAACCGATTTTTCTTTCTTCCTCCTCCATTTTACTGCCTTGTTACTTGATGTAGTGACACGAGGTGTAGCAACTTAAACCGTTACGCAGTAATGCCTGGTCCTATGTTGATCTTGATGATGAGTACATGAACATGTACCGCGTTGAGTTACATCATAATACACCTGATACACACAAACTTTGACTGACTAACAAAATCAACGTAGAACCTCATACAGTGGTGCATCGGCTCAAGTTGCCAAACTTCATAGTATTATACAAAGAACACATAAATAGAAAGTGATATCAAAATAGACGAGGTTGTATGAAAGAATAAACAATTTGAAGACAACGGACAGTGCAAATATTCAAGTTTCAGAAGCTGTCAAAGAGTGAATACATCCGCCTTTGCAACCAATTCTCAGCCCTCAACCACCAATTCCTTTCGTTTTGGGAAAGCAAAATACGACCCGGACGAACAGTTAGAGATTTCATCAACTATGGCCATATCTTGCTCTGGCCATCCTGAACCATTTCCCATCATAATCGAATTTCTCCGAGCACGGTACGTCGAGATAAGCGATGGTTTGGCATGCGCAACACATCCAATTCACCTAAGTCGATGAAGGTTCACAACCTCATCAATTGACTTGTCTTTCTTGTCTAGTAACCTTCACCTGACCTCAACATTGCTCACACAGTGAATACACCAAACACAAACAATGCTAAGACGTCTGCAATCAAAACCTTGTAATCGTTTACTTTTAACGGTCATGTTTCACAACCGTATGACAGAGGAGAAAGAGCTGCAGCGCGGTATACTCCTCCTGTGATAGGTCGTCAGATATCTCACCTGCACCAGAGTTGACGCAAGTTGGCGAATGCTAGGCGGGTTTTCTGTATCTGAGCTGAAATGCTGTCAACCACCAGCCTGTTCGAGTTGATGCAACTCCCCAAATAAGTGAGGTGGTTGACACATCCCACTACTTCACTCTCTACCATTAAACTGAGAGTGATTGCAGACCAGTTTTGAAGCATCGTCTTACGTTTGATGGGTGTGAAATGCATGCCAAACATACTCAAATTTCTGCTTAACAGTTTCGAAAGACACTGCATTACCTGAGCATTTTCACGTAGCAGGTCATTATCATCTCCATACACCAAGTTAACTGGATGACCTAGAGGGAGTAGATCAGTCCATATGAAGTATGAGGTAACTAGAGTTATGTACATTAGTGCATCTATAACTAAGTCAAATACGAATGGTGACAGTGAGCATTCCTGGTGGACACCACTAGTTGTCGTCAATTCACACGACAACTATCCTTAAGCTCTGATACGGCAGTGTGAGTTCGAGTAGAGAACTATGATTACTGCTATGTGCTTGCTTGGTACTCTCTTTATAAACAGACACGGCCACAACACCTTACGGTCGATAGAGTCAAATGCCGTTCCCAGGTCAAAAAATATCCCGTGTCGGTCACCAGAGCTGGAGAAATCTAATAATGGTTTACTTCTTCAGGATAATAACCACCTCATCTTTGTGTAACATCAGTACCAGTTTCAGTTCAAAGGTTGCTAATGACAACTGGACATTAAAGGTCAAAATAAATGTCTTCATTGCATTAGTTAAATGCTTTATGCCACAGAACTCTGTTAACGAACCATGAGCACCATGTTACAAGATAAATCTAATGAGATCATTTGTGTTGATGACTTCGACAAATCCTACGGGTTGTTTTGGTCACCTTTAGCTTTTTCCCAAACTAATCCTACTTCCATTAACGTCACGCACCGAGGTAGGCAGTGACTAGGTATGCACGACACATGTTTAGCCCACCTCAATCGGTGACCCTTCGCAACACTTCTCTTTACATGATACTATACTCAACCTTAACATTGCTTACACGGTGATTCCACCATACACGAACAATGCCAAGAAGACATTTAAGAGACTTATAACCTCATATCCAACAGTAAACATACAGTTTGTTTATCTCACCAAGGGTTATCAGCGCGAATTTATTGAGTGAAAGTTTACTTGCCAATCAGTGAGAAAATAACGATTTGTGTAACGCAAGACACATACCTTGTAAGCTCGTTGATGACATCTCAACTCGGATACAGAAGGCCTATTTGGCATTTGTTAATTTGCGTCAGCTGTGGTGCCGGTGGAATATATATGTAACCTGTGGACTGTGTCGTTGAATAAACATTTATTTAATCATATTCTGAGAGCCGAACCAGTTTAAAAATGCTTTGATGATAAGTTCCTGTGAACTTTTCTTAACAGGGTTTGAATTGTTACATTACCAGATACAAAGGGAAATTGGTTAGACTGTACTCGAGGGGTGCGTATATAACCTTAGAATGGTAGATCAGTAAAAGACAAGGACAGTAAGCAAATATGTTTACACATAGACACTAGCAACATACGATCAGATGTTGTTGCGTAGTGGTATTAGTTACATCACAGAATTCCAAGGTAACCAAAAGGTGAAATGACGATAAACTTAACCAAAGTTGTACGAAGCCATGCAGAAAAGAAAAAAAAAATACAGAACAACGAGACCTTACGTAACGGTTAGGCTGAGGAGGAGATATGAATGCACCTGAGCCGTTGTGACCGATTCTGAGTTATCTCATTCAGAATTCTCAACTATCCCTTTTGCTTTTTTCATGGAATTCAATCTGCAAGCCTACACTGCTGCATATGGGTCACGGAAAAAATAAGAGAGTTCATAAACTGGTATCATGTCTAGCCACTTAGCTTTCTTCAACCTAACTCATATCTGGTTAGGATTGCACCTTAGGCGTGTGAGCCGGCATGCACATGTCTAAACCTCCTCCATCAAAGAATATTTACAAACCAACAAAGCTGGCTACCTTTCCTACACAGTGATATATCCATAATCTCTGCGTTACTGAGGTGGTGGTCTCACGACGCGCGAGACACTGCAACAACAGTCATCAAGTAGATCAGGCCTTTTTGAGCGTATTAGACAGTAGGCAGGAGTGAACTGCTGACTAGTACTCGCAGCTATTCAAATACTTTCAGATATTTTGCCAGCATAATTGAATGAACTTGGTGAACACTTATCAAGCTCTTCATCGGTTAACAACCTAACACGGTTGACAGGATCTCCCCCCCCCCCTTTATTAAATGAAGGGGTCAATGAACTTAGTCATTAAGTCACCAGAAGAGAGTAGTTCAAAAGAGTCGATTCACATTCACGAGAAGAGCATCCACAAGAATACGTTGCAGGAGTCATTCTCTGAACCGGTGTAGAAAAGAGATTTTATTCGCTGCTTTATGATTTAATTTTCAATGTGTATTTTGAAGTCAAACTAATATCTAAGTTCATGAACCTACTGTCTTCTTGCATACCCAGAATTGAATTACTAATTCCTTCTTTCCACATGGGTTCATCTCAGTAATCTAGAGGCAACAGACGATTGCTTAAGGGTTATTTTCGTGTATATCACAGTTCACTTGGTTCACTTCACGTAGATACATAGATGAATGTCTTTATCATGCATACTCTTACTTTGAGAAAAATGTATCTGAAAGCAAGTCAGTTCCTAAACATCGTGAAAAACAATATTTGCAGTAAATAGCGTTTCTTTATTAAAAACTAGAAATGACCGAGTTTTCTTATTGGTGCCTTCAACGCCGTCTGCCAGTCACTCAGAAACGGCAAGATCCCGCATTTCTACCGAATTAACCATACAATAAAAAAGTAGGATACCCCCATTTTGTCAGCCCTAAACTTTTAACACAATTCTTGTTGGTTATAGTTTAGGCATTAGTCTTAGGATATCTGTTTTACCTATCTGAAAATCGAAAAGGCAAACCAACCTTTCATGTAATTTCAGAACACGGTGAACGATAGGAATCTCCCTTCCTTCTATTTTAAAAACAACAATATCACCCACTCGAATTGGTTCATCAGGGTAATTTGTTAGATACAATACGTCACCACGGTAAAAAGCAGGCTCCATGCTGCCACTAAAAGGAGGATTGGATATGCTGTGTAAGAAACTCACCTTAAGACAACTACCAAAGGACTTTCACTATAACTAACAATCACTAAAAACTTCCAAATCATTAGAGCAGAAGCCACAACCATCGCTATAGTTAACCCTTGGTAGTATATCTACATTAAAATCCATTTTGAAGATAGCATTGCTGTTACCTGTCTTTTGTTCATACGCTTTACTTCATCGAACACGTCCAAACCGAGAAAGCCCATCGTAACTGCTCCGAAATTCCAAGAGTAAACTGCGCGCCCAACACGTGGCGACTTACTACGTTGCAGAGCAAGCTTAACCTATGTCAAGGACATTTCATTTAAGATTCTAAAAGGCAATAAGTATCAAACTTTACTATGAGTAAGCAGCATGTGCATTTAACTGGGGTTCTTGTAGTTTGCATATCTGCATGATGCAGATACACACATCACTGATTATCAATATCTGCTGCTACCGTTTGGGGGAGATTACGCCTGAGCGCTTTTCTAAAGGAACTGTAATCAATTTCAGGAATAAACAGGACGCAGCCCTATTTTAAAGCCTGTGACTCCCTGTTTAGGAGATGTCTAGCGGCACTTTTTAGGAATTGCTACAAGACACTGGTTACGTGCCCCAGCAGATATTCCAACAGGTTTACAAGGTTGTATCCAATACCCATTATCTGTTTAACGAGTCTGTGTAAACCAGTTGATTTCTTCGTGTTCCTTTCCAGGTCTTGCAGATCGGTCCCAGGTCTTTGGCGGATTCTGATGCAGTAGATCCAGCCACTCGTCTGCTATAGCTCTGGTATATAGAACAGGGGGTTAAATGTTATTTAGTTTTCCTTGGACTGTGGTGCAGTTGGCTTCCTCAGATACTGAGTTGCAAGGTGTTTTTTTGGGCTGGTCGTTGGGCAGAGTTACGGCTAGTGAAGGGGAAACCGAGAAAGACAAGTGTACGTGCATAAAAGGGGAAAGAAAAGTGAACTGATGGAGTGGTCTACTTACACTCAAGTAGGGCGAGGGGGGAAAGATATAAAGAACTTGGTTGAGTGGGTTTAATTCATATCTCCGCAAACAAAGAGACTGAAGTGGTTGAGTGGGTTGAAGACTTAACTTACCTGGAAAGTCAGATCAGTTCTGGTGAGTTGGTCACACACCAACGCCACATTTTCCGATTGTCTATTGAGCGTCGAGTGCACTGTGTTGCAGTCAGCTCTTCTCTACTCCGCAGCTGTGAAATATGGCCGTTAAAGGTAGAAGACATGAGAAATCTTCAGGTGTTTAACCACCGCTGCCTTCGTAACATACGCTGGGTTTCCTAGTGTCACTACATCAGTAATGCAGAAGTCAGGTGGAGAGATTTAGGCAGGAGGGGTAGGTCAGTTGATGGGGTTGCGAACCTTCATTGACTGAGATGGCTGGCTGAAACATGTGTTACGTATGCCTAGCCACCGTCTGCCTCGTCGCACGATGTTGGCCAAAGTAGCTTGAGGCTGGAATAAACCTCAAGACGACCAGACTAAAACAAGGCATCAATACGTGAAGTCTTTGACTTTTCGGTTGAGCCATGTAGAGCGACACACTTTCTCGTTTCTCCTTCCTTATTTTTACGACTTTCCACTTTTACTTCTTTTAACCGATTTTTCTTTCTTCCTCCTCCATTTTACTGCCTTGTTACTTGATGTAGTGACACGAGGTGTAGCAACTTAAACCGTTACGCAGTAATGCCTGGTCCTATGTTGATCTTGATGATGAGTACATGAACATGTACCGCGTTGAGTTACATCATAATACACCTGATACACACAAACTTTGACTGACTAACAAAATCAACGTAGAACCTCATACAGTGGTGCATCGGCTCAAGTTGCCAAACTTCATAGTATTATACAAAGAACACATAAATAGAAAGTGATATCAAAATAGACGAGGTTGTATGAAAGAATAAACAATTTGAAGACAACGGACAGTGCAAATATTCAAGTTTCAGAAGCTGTCAAAGAGTGAATACATCCGCCTTTGCAACCAATTCTCAGCCCTCAACCACCAATTCCTTTCGTTTTGGGAAAGCAAAATACGACCCGGACGAACAGTTAGAGATTTCATCAACTATGGCCATATCTTGCTCTGGCCATCCTGAACCATTTCCCATCATAATCGAATTTCTCCGAGCACGGTACGTCGAGATAAGCGATGGTTTGGCATGCGCAACACATCCAATTCACCTAAGTCGATGAAGGTTCACAACCTCATCAATTGACTTGTCTTTCTTGTCTAGTAACCTTCACCTGACCTCAACATTGCTCACACAGTGAATACACCAAACACAAACAATGCTAAGACGTCTGCAATCAAAACCTTGTAATCGTTTACTTTTAACGGTCATGTTTCACAACCGTATGACAGAGGAGAAAGAGCTGCAGCGCGGTATACTCCTCCTGTGATAGGTCGTCAGATATCTCACCTGCACCAGAGTTGACGCAAGTTGGCGAATGCTAGGCGGGTTTTCTGTATCTGAGCTGAAATGCTGTCAACCACCAGCCTGTTCGAGTTGATGCAACTCCCCAAATAAGTGAGGTGGTTGACACATCCCACTACTTCACTCTCTACCATTAAACTGAGAGTGATTGCAGACCAGTTTTGAAGCATCGTCTTACGTTTGATGGGTGTGAAATGCATGCCAAACATACTCAAATTTCTGCTTAACAGTTTCGAAAGACACTGCATTACCTGAGCATTTTCACGTAGCAGGTCATTATCATCTCCATACACCAAGTTAACTGGATGACCTAGAGGGAGTAGATCAGTCCATATGAAGTATGAGGTAACTAGAGTTATGTACATTAGTGCATCTATAACTAAGTCAAATACGAATGGTGACAGTGAGCATTCCTGGTGGACACCACTAGTTGTCGTCAATTCACACGACAACTATCCTTAAGCTCTGATACGGCAGTGTGAGTTCGAGTAGAGAACTATGATTACTGCTATGTGCTTGCTTGGTACTCTCTTTATAAACAGACACGGCCACAACACCTTACGGTCGATAGAGTCAAATGCCGTTCCCAGGTCAAAAAATATCCCGTGTCGGTCACCAGAGCTGGAGAAATCTAATAATGGTTTACTTCTTCAGGATAATAACCACCTCATCTTTGTGTAACATCAGTACCAGTTTCAGTTCAAAGGTTGCTAATGACAACTGGACATTAAAGGTCAAAATAAATGTCTTCATTGCATTAGTTAAATGCTTTATGCCACAGAACTCTGTTAACGAACCATGAGCACCATGTTACAAGATAAATCTAATGAGATCATTTGTGTTGATGACTTCGACAAATCCTACGGGTTGTTTTGGTCACCTTTAGCTTTTTCCCAAACTAATCCTACTTCCATTAACGTCACGCACCGAGGTAGGCAGTGACTAGGTATGCACGACACATGTTTAGCCCACCTCAATCGGTGACCCTTCGCAACACTTCTCTTTACATGATACTATACTCAACCTTAACATTGCTTACACGGTGATTCCACCATACACGAACAATGCCAAGAAGACATTTAAGAGACTTATAACCTCATATCCAACAGTAAACATACAGTTTGTTTATCTCACCAAGGGTTATCAGCGCGAATTTATTGAGTGAAAGTTTACTTGCCAATCAGTGAGAAAATAACGATTTGTGTAACGCAAGACACATACCTTGTAAGCTCGTTGATGACATCTCAACTCGGATACAGAAGGCCTATTTGGCATTTGTTAATTTGCGTCAGCTGTGGTGCCGGTGGAATATATATGTAATCTGTGGACTGTGTCGTTGAATAAACATTTATTTAATCATATTCTGAGAGCCGAACCAGTTTAAAAATGCTTTGATGATAAGTTCCTGTGAACTTTTCTTAACAGGGTTTGAATTGTTACATTACCAGATACAAAGGGAAATTGGTTAGACTGTACTCGAGGGGTGCGTATATAACCTTAGAATGGTAGATCAGTAAAAGACAAGGACAGTAAGCAAATATGTTTACACATAGACACTAGCAACATACGATCAGATGTTGTTGCGTAGTGGTATTAGTTACATCACAGAATTCCAAGGTAACCAAAAGGTGAAATGACGATAAACTTAACCAAAGTTGTACGAAGCCATGCAGAAAAGAAAAAAAAAATACAGAACAACGAGACCTTACGTAACGGTTAGGCTGAGGAGGAGATATGAATGCACCTGAGCCGTTGTGACCGATTCTGAGTTATCTCATTCAGAATTCTCAACTATCCCTTTTGCTTTTTTCATGGAATTCAATCTGCAAGCCTACACTGCTGCATATGGGTCACGGAAAAAATAAGAGAGTTCATAAACTGGTATCATGTCTAGCCACTTAGCTTTCTTCAACCTAACTCATATCTGGTTAGGATTGCACCTTAGGCGTGTGAGCCGGCATGCACATGTCTAAACCTCCTCCATCAAAGAATATTTACAAACCAACAAAGCTGGCTACCTTTCCTACACAGTGATATATCCATAATCTCTGCGTTACTGAGGTGGTGGTCTCACGACGCGCGAGACACTGCAACAACAGTCATCAAGTAGATCAGGCCTTTTTGAGCGTATTAGACAGTAGGCAGGAGTGAACTGCTGACTAGTACTCGCAGCTATTCAAATACTTTCAGATATTTTGCCAGCATAATTGAATGAACTTGGTGAACACTTATCAAGCTCTTCATCGGTTAACAACCTAACACGGTTGACAGGATCTCCCCCCCCCCTTTATTAAATGAAGGGGTCAATGAACTTAGTCATTAAGTCACCAGAAGAGAGTAGTTCAAAAGAGTCGATTCACATTCACGAGAAGAGCATCCACAAGAATACGTTGCAGGAGTCATTCTCTGAACCGGTGTAGAAAAGAGATTTTATTCGCTGCTTTATGATTTAATTTTCAATGTGTATTTTGAAGTCAAACTAATATCTAAGTTCATGAACCTACTGTCTTCTTGCATACCCAGAATTGAATTACTAATTCCTTCTTTCCACATGGGTTCATCTCAGTAATCTAGAGGCAACAGACGATTGCTTAAGGGTTATTTTCGTGTATATCACAGTTCACTTGGTTCACTTCACGTAGATACATAGATGAATGTCTTTATCATGCATACTCTTACTTTGAGAAAAATGTATCTGAAAGCAAGTCAGTTCCTAAACATCGTGAAAAACAATATTTGCAGTAAATAGCGTTTCTTTATTAAAAACTAGAAATGACCGAGTTTTCTTATTGGTGCCTTCAACGCCGTCTGCCAGTCACTCAGAAACGGCAAGATCCCGCATTTCTACCGAATTAACCATACAATAAAAAAGTAGGATACCCCCATTTTGTCAGCCCTAAACTTTTAACACAATTCTTGTTGGTTATAGTTTAGGCATTAGTCTTAGGATATCTGTTTTACCTATCTGAAAATCGAAAAGGCAAACCAACCTTTCATGTAATTTCAGAACACGGTGAACGATAGGAATCTCCCTTCCTTCTATTTTAAAAACAACAATATCACCCACTCGAATTGGTTCATCAGGGTAATTTGTTAGATACAATACGTCACCACGGTAAAAAGCAGGCTCCATGCTGCCACTAAAAGGAGGATTGGATATGCTGTGTAAGAAACTCACCTTAAGACAACTACCAAAGGACTTTCACTATAACTAACAATCACTAAAAACTTCCAAATCATTAGAGCAGAAGCCACAACCATCGCTATAGTTAACCCTTGGTAGTATATCTACATTAAAATCCATTTTGAAGATAGCATTGCTGTTACCTGTCTTTTGTTCATACGCTTTACTTCATCGAACACGTCCAAACCGAGAAAGCCCATCGTAACTGCTCCGAAATTCCAAGAGTAAACTGCGCGCCCAACACGTGGCGACTTACTACGTTGCAGAGCAAGCTTAACCTATGTCAAGGACATTTCATTTAAGATTCTAAAAGGCAATAAGTATCAAACTTTACTATGAGTAAGCAGCATGTGCATTTAACTGGGGTTCTTGTAGTTTGCATATCTGCATGATGCAGATACACACATCACTGATTATCAATATCTGCTGCTACCGTTTGGGGGAGATTACGCCTGAGCGCTTTTCTAAAGGAACTGTAATCAATTTCAGGAATAAACAGGACGCAGCCCTATTTTAAAGCCTGTGACTCCCTGTTTAGGAGATGTCTAGCGGCACTTTTTAGGAATTGCTACAAGACACTGGTTACGTGCCCCAGCAGATATTCCAACAGGTTTACAAGGTTGTATCCAATACCCATTATCTGTTTAACGAGTCTGTGTAAACCAGTTGATTTCTTCGTGTTCCTTTCCAGGTCTTGCAGATCGGTCCCAGGTCTTTGGCGGATTCTGATGCAGTAGATCCAGCCACTCGTCTGCTATAGCTCTGGTATATAGAACAGGGGGTTAAATGTTATTTAGTTTTCCTTGGACTGTGGTGCAGTTGGCTTCCTCAGATACTGAGTTGCAAGGTGTTTTTTTGGGCTGGTCGTTGGGCAGAGTTACGGCTAGTGAAGGGGAAACCGAGAAAGACAAGTGTACGTGCATAAAAGGGGAAAGAAAAGTGAACTGATGGAGTGGTCTACTTACACTCAAGTAGGGCGAGGGGGGAAAGATATAAAGAACTTGGTTGAGTGGGTTTAATTCATATCGAGTAAGAGGGATCAAAAGGACTTAGGTGGTCAGAGGAGGAAGAGAACTGGTGTGAATACAACGGTGTTGGAATGATGTGACAGTGGTTGATTTCTTCGGTTTACTTCGTATTCCAACTAGATGCGCATAGACCGTGGGTCACTGCGTAACTGTCTACCTTTTTCTTGAAACTACCAACGGATGGGGCGGAGGTTACCTCTGCTGGTAATCCATTCCAGTAGCCACAGACACGAGGGGAGAAGTGTGAATCAGCACCAGTTTCTGGCCTTTGGTGAGTAATTCTCTTGGCGTTCCCATTAGGATCATATGGTGGCCACTCGGTGGTATTCCTCTGTTTCAGTTGCTCGGGTTATCTTGTAGGCCATCAATAAACCGCCTCGTGACTCCGGTAACTAAGAGAGTACAGGTCTAGGCCCCTTAGTCTGTCCCCACATGGTTCTTTGTGCATCCCAACAACCTCTTTTGTGGCTCGCCTCTGAACTTTCTCCAGTAGGTTCGTGCCTCTCTTCAGTTGTGGTGGAGCAAAAACGTTATGGACCTTTAAGTGGGGCCGTATGTAGGTCTCATAGAGTTTCAAAAATATCTCCACGGTGAGGGCGCCTAGTTGTCTGCGCACAAGGTACTGTACACCGCTTGCTGTTGAGGCACCTCCTGGGCAATCGGAGCTGCTGTCCACTTTCTTCTCCATCACTAAACTCAGGTCTTTCTCCGCTGTAGCATGAGATAGATATAAACTACAGAGACAGCAGGGCACTTTATGTGGATCAGGAGTGCGAATAAAGCAGACCGGCATTTATCCACGCTAAGTTTAAGTTTGTTACTAGTCGCTCACCCATCGAGCTTTTCGACGTCATCCTGCAGCGGATTCGTTTCTGTTTCGCACATTACTACCCTCCCTCTACAACTTGACACCAACAGTGCTGAGGAGAATCTGGGAGCTGATATGCGGGGGGAGGCCACTCACAAATGGCGGGAACAACAACGGACCCGGAACTGCTCTTTTTGTACACAGGAAGATGATGTTCTCCGAGTTGAATAGCCCCAGTTGACCTCCTTGTGAAACCCCTTCAGTTTCTAATTAGTTCTACAACCCCGGCAGCTCCTGGCAGGGGATACTCAGTCCAGGTGTTTCGCGCGTTAGGATGATGTGCTAGTCTGTGCCAAAGGCTTTGACGAAATCCGGGAAAACCAGGTGGATTGGGACCCTGAGATCCCAGCACGCTGTTCGGTGGTCTTGGGATGTCAGGAGGCTGGAATCACAGGACTTACTCTCTCGGAAAGCATGTTGAACGTCACTGACAGCTTGCTTTATGCCCAGATATTCCTTGACATGGACGTTCATCGTGATTCCCGTAAATCTTTATACTACCTGCAAAGGTGCAATAGGCCAGTAACAGTCCGGGTCCAACCTCTGTCTTTCTTTTGAAGATAGGAAAGAGGACGGTGCGTTTCTGCTCCTGTGGATGGGGAGGTTGTTCATCTAAGGGATGTTGGTAAATATTGCAGGGTGGGCTATTTAGGGTACTCGTACATTGTTTCAACAAAGATAGGCGAGTGTCGTCGCCCCCTGTGGATTTTCCCGCACTTAGCTTTGATAGCTTGGAAAGAACGGCAGCACTAGTTATCTGTATCTCGCGTAACTCCGCTGTGTCGGATAATATTAGGCTGTGCGTATGCTTGCTTGCTCGACGGGGTGTTGAGGTGTATGTCAATGGTGGTGCTGCACACTTCAGCAGTTTCCTATCCAGAGAGGTTTTCTCCTTTCGGACCTTTGATGGCGCATGCTCCTCGGCTCCTGAACTTTCTACTCCCCACGAACAGGTATGGGTTTTGGAGGTCCACCCCAAGCCTCCTGACGACGTTGGACTGGAATGACCTGTCTTCCCGCACCCTGGTGCTGAGACGATTTCCTAGAGCTAAGAATGCGTCACGACTATCGCCTTCTATGGAGAGCCTCCACTTATGTCATGCCTTCCTCTTGACTTTCAAGAGGCGTTAATAGTTTCGTTTTAGCCATGAGACCTGCTTTCTTTGTGTTGTTACCACTGAGGAGGCGTTTTCAGAAACCACTGCCTTGGTGGTTTCTCCTTATAGTTCCCAGTGCTGGTTAGTCGACTTTTATTATCTGTCATTTGTCCCTTGAGTTCCTAATTGAACATAGGGCCTCAGTAATACGTCTCCAGTGAACCCTCTTCTCTGAAATCTTTTCAACCTGGTTCCACCACGGTCCACAAGCTATCATTTCCTTCTCGCATGATCTCCTCAATGTCACCCTCACCTCGGACACACAACTCATCCTCTCCTATCTGGGTTCCACCGGAGGGCCCGGCCTGACGAGTGACGTCCCCAGTCGGCCTTCTCAGTGTATGCCCAGTCCATCTCCACTTTCTCCCACTGCGTATTTGTTGGGTGATAGATTCTTGGTTGGCTTGTTCGCAGGTCACAATTTCTTGTCGCTTATTCTTTCTGGCCATCTTATCTTCAATATGGAGTGAGCGTAGGCGGCAGCTGTTGATGAATGTCTGTAGTTTGTTGAAAATCCCTTTCGTAATGCTTAAAGTCTCTGGACTATACAAAAGCACTCACTGACTTGACTGACGTTGGTGTTGAAAATCTGGATGTTGTTCACGCTTTATGCTGAGTGCAGTGTAGTGCAGAAGATCTCCACACTGATTTCAGGTTAATGAACACCTGTCTTGCCGTCTTTCGATTCTGACTTTGACATCCTCGACAGTGCTTCCTAGATAGGTGAAACAGACTACTTTTTTTAAGTTTCTTCTGTTGATGGTGATTGGAGTTTGCTGTCGTTGTTGGTTGGTTATCTTCGTCACCTCTTGGTCAGCCGATAAGATGCTCCAATCCACTGGCTATGGAGTTGTCAACAGGTACTAATTCATTCCCTCGTAATACGCCTTGTTAAAAAAGAAGCAAGTGCGGAATCCGTCCACGATGATTGTTAGCTGGTTAACAGATTGAACACTACCACAGCGTGATCACCACTTCCAAGAGGATTTTGAACCTGAACGTACTCAACCGATAGATCCTCACCAGTCAGCAGATGGTCGAGTCCGAATGGTTTTCATTCTGACCCTCAGAGGGCATCGTCGCTAATCTATTCGTGCCGCCCGGCTATTCGGATGGGGTGTAGCAGGATACAATCAAACGTTAAATAATCCATTTAACTTGCAGAGGCCAGGAAAATTGGTTGCGTAGGATGCGGCTGTTGTGGAGTTGTGAAGCAGAAATTAAGTTATGTGCTCATTATCACTTACAGTAGGAAAGAGAAGGTAAGTTTGGCCTTTTTAGGTTGCGGACTGAAAAGCCAATGGGTTGATCGAGAGAGATGGGAGTTTATAGGCGATAATCGGTGATGCATATACCATTTAGGCATTTTACCGTTGGCGCCAACAGACAAACGGGAGTGAAAGTAATATAAATCATTAGAAGCTGGCCTATTGGTAGCAAGAGTTTAGCGCAGGGGGTCGATTTTCTTCACTGGTTGATACTACATGTTAGTCAAGCTCCTCTCTCACTATTCACACCCAACTACTAAATAACTGGGGAACATTCTGTGGTCCTCCTCTCCTTAGTACCCAAATTCACCAGTGGGCCAAGGTCTAAGTCCCCCAACCTTAACGTTCAGCGGCCGAATTGGGTTTCACCAGTAGGAATACAACAGTATATGTCGGACTGTTCGACGTCTTCCTCATAGGCCAACGAGACCCCCGCGCAGTATGCTTGTTAAGCGAGGGGCGGCTGATTTCAGCGAGTTCAAACAATGCCATTCTTACCTAACTCATGGGTCTTGTACCATCGCTCTAATACCACTTCCGGTCTGCTGGCCCAGTGTCCCCACTCTGCCCAACATGAGACGAGACGAACAGCCCACTGTTAAGGTTGCGTTTTATATTGACATTCGAGCTATTTGACTACCTTGGGAAATCCCAGACTCACTCGATGTGATCCTGTCAGTTTTTCCCTTCTTTTGAGACTGGGCATTTTTGTTACTGGTCGTGGTCCTGTTTATTGGCACACCTTGGGGTTATTTCGGACGTTCTGTAGAAATGACGTCACCTATGACCTTATGGTGTACAACGGTCAGCAGATAGGCGTGCCATATGATCTACCGGTCTCTATTACCTCCAATGAACAGGCTCTTTTTGGACAACCTA